GCTTGAGAGGGTTTGTCGTGTTAGGTGTGGAGCAAACACGTCCGACTCCATGTGTTTTGCTTGGACACCTGGCTGGGAATAGATGTTGCCCCTAAGCACGAAGGAACCTGCCAACTTCAGCCACGGAGTATGGTGGAATGGGGATTTGGCTGTGGGGGGTTGATTCTTATTTTTCCCCTCTTTTTTGTGAGAATTTCCTTGCATTTCTGACCCTTAGTCCCTCCGGAGCTGCCCCACCTCTGTAGCAGTGAGGCTGCTTTGTGCTTTCCCGTGGGCATGGAGGTGCAGGAGGAGGACGGGTGATGGGAGCTGGCGCAGCAGCTTCACCACAGTGTCATTCGGGGGCCTCATGGAAGGGTTTTCCTTACGGGGCCTCTGCAAATATGTTGGAGATGGGCCCTGAGCCTTTGGCTGGGGTTGAGCTTTTCCACAGCAAACTGTAGTAATGCGAGTCATTGATCCAGAGACGTGCAGCCTGGGAGTTTTCGGGGGTACATAAACTCTCCCTTGCCATAAACAGAGTGAGAGGTGTTTTGCTAATGACCTTCTTAGTTCAAATAAAGCATCTGTATGTCAGTGAAAATGGGTTGAAATAGTATCTGATTTGTCCTCTCTTCCCAAGGTCCATGAGCTGCTCTGTTAGCTGCAGTGTGGCTGCAGGGTTTTCACTCTGAAGCGATGGAGAGTCTTGAGCAGGAGGCTGGACTGGATCCTTCTGACCTGAAGTGTGTGAGATTTTGAGACTGTGGCTGATACTCTTAGTTTTAGTCTGCACTGAAGTCTTATTTGTAGGGATTTTTGCTAGGTGGATTATAGTGAAAATAGAGCTGAGGCTGTAATTTTGCCTTTATTTGCTGTGTAAGTGTCTCCAAAGCCAGAAGCTCATGGCTGGCTTTTTCTTTAAGGCTCCCTGATATAGTGGTTGAGAGTTCCCATTTCCTTGTAGAGGAGTAGGAAAATGTGGATTTTATTAATCCATTTGGCTAATACATCCTCACATTCCACCTACTGAAGATGTGTGTTTGCCTGATGCTCTGGTGCAGCATCCTCCTGTCCTGCACACTTACCCTGCTCCGTGTTCCCTGGTCTTTTCTCTTTTTGTCTTTTGTTTTATTCCTAAAGTGTTTCTGTCCCTTTCTCTTCCCACTCAGACCTTTGTTTTCCCTTTTTCTTACTGCTACTGTGGCATACTCCTGCCCCAGAACATCTTAGCCTGTGCAGCTGCTCTGACAGAAATACCAGCAGTGGCTTCTTGCACATGGATTGCCGCAGGCAAAGTGCTTGGGATGCCCCAGGCTCCTCTAAGGCTGCCAACAGATTCCAGCCGGGAATGTGAGAAAGGTAGTACCAGCTCAGCAGGGAGCAACTTAAAAAATGTGCAGCTCTCTTTTTCTAAAGCATTAAGTTGGTAGATTTTGCCAAGAGCTTCAAAATGAACTGGTTTTGAAGGAGATTTTTGGCCGAACCCTTTCTGCTGCAGAGAAAATAAACCATTTGGGACCATTTTAGTTAGTGCAGTGTTATTGGGTTTGGGCCATTCTAAAGCTTTGCTGGTTTATGAGAACTGTGAAAGGGCTTTGGAGTTTGCATTGTACGTGTGATTTTTCAGTTCTAGTGCTCAGGGTAGTAAAAGAACTTTCGGAAAATGTACATGTTTTCTGTATTCTCCACATTTGCTAACGGCTTTTCTGTCCATGTTGTGCTACTTGTCCTTAAAATTATTTCCTCCACTGGACTGTGCAGAACTGCCCTGGAAATAGGGGTTTTTTTGAGCTCTTTAAGAAAAGCAAGGAAGATCCAGTTTTTAACTTAGATTTGAAACCTTGCCAACCACAAAGCTATTAAATACCACTTTTCAACTTCCATATTCTTAGAAAAGTCTCTCCAAGCTGTGAAATAAATGCCCATTTGTAACTCTCCCTTAAATATGCTGGCTAGTTTAACCTGCAGCTTGTACATCTGTCCTGACCAAATAGCCTGGGAAAGAGAGCATTTCAGTGCCTGTTGCTTTGTGGTTCATTTGGTGCTACAAATTGTACTGGTTTCAGTGGAAATTCAGGTTTGGCTGCATAGCTCGTGTTATTCTTCAGCCAAAATATCAGTGAGTACATATTCCTAACCAGAACCTCTGTGTATTGTTAGGAATAAATGTCCCCTCTCTACCTGAAGGCATAGTAGGTTCATTCGAGCTACATCCAAAGTGATGAGTTTTCCCACTTAATAATCGTCGTCTTAGATAAATCTGCCATATAGAGATGCAGATGGTATTACAAGCAAGAAGACACATGGGTGTAAGAGAAAATCTGGAAGTTCTGAGTGTAGATTACCCTTACAGCTTTAGAAGGCTGTATGTGTATCTACATCTAATAGTCTTTAGTGAGAGGTCTAACAGTGTTAGATAACACTGGTTTTAAATCCACCTCCTGAATTATACTTCAGTGCCTTAACTTTATTTCATTCGTGTCTTCCAAGCCATTTTTTTATCTTCCCAAAGATACAACTTTATCCTTCTTCCCCAGAGTTTCTCTGCTGGCATGAAATTGCCATTTCTTGCAATTCATTTCTTCTTACCCAGCAGAAAAAAAGGAGATGGTCACAGGTCAGCTTATTAGGAGACAAAAGCAAGTCTTTAACGGGAGCAGTAAATTTCCCGAGTCCCTTCAGTTGTCCGTGCGTAAAGGTCACCTCGGTTATATTTGGGATGGGACGTTGTTTTATTTCATAACTTGGTGATGACTGAGCCTCAGTGCTCGGGATGTTTGCTCAGCAGGCCGAGTTCTGCGTTGTCACAACACCAGCAGGAATCGACCAGAGCCTTGTGCTTGGAGTTCCTTGCAAATTAAAGGGCATGGATGTGAACAGTGAAATAACTCACTGCCGTGCTGGAGGGGCCCTCCCAAAGGAGTGCCAGAAACTGCGAAAAAGGGCCTTTTTAGGCCTTGGTTAACGAGCTCTTTCACAATAATCTGTGCTACCTTTTTGGGCTACAAATGTCTGAATTATTTTGCTTCCATTGATCTGGTTTTGAGTTATTATGCGTAGAGTAATATGCGTAGAGTAATACTACTCAAGTATGAGTAGATCTAAAATGATGGACAGTGTCTGAACTGTTGCTGTTGGTGACCTAAGGGCTGCAAAAGATACAGATCATTGGTGTCAAGTGATAAATTTCTATTATAACCGATTAACCAAGTTGCAATGAGTTAAACTGAAAACTGTTGCTTCTGGTGTCGATCACGTGGTTAAAATGTGTGTGATTGGTAAGGCTGTATCTTGGCACCTCCAGATCAGCAAAACACTGTGGCAAATACTCCAATTGCATTCATAAAGCCATAAAATAATGCTGAAAGCTGAAAAACTTGCAGCACTATTCTGGCTCTGTTTGTTCATGTGTCTTTGGAGAGGAAAATCCAGTGGAAGCTGATTTTGCTTTTGGGACTTTCAGTATTGCAGCGCTTTTCAAACTCTGCAGGAAAATCTTTTTTTTCCCTTGTAAAGAGTAACACTTCACCAGCTTTTCCAAACTATACAAATCTTTACAGGCTTTCAAAACCTTTCCTAAAAGTTTATTTTTACAGGATCTGAACTTCTGGCCCAGTGTGATGCTGGAGGATTTTGTGTGCTTTTCTGTCCAGAGAAAGTCACGAAGCATAATAAGTCGGTACTGCAGTAATTAATATTAATTTTCAGCTATTCCACACAGCTGTTCCTTGTTAAGTGTGTGGTGAAAGCTGTGCTTGGGCACATCTCAAAAGTCCATTTCCCGCAGTCCCTGCCCAGAGCACTTTTCCACGTTCTTGCTTCCCCAGAGGGCAAGGAGTTACACCGAAGGGTTTGGAGCTGTTCACTGGTCTGATGTTGGCCTCATGACTTGGGAGGGCTGTATTTTGGATACTTGATTCCGAGATGAAATTAAACCTTGTGCCCGACTTTTTACTTTTACCCTCGAAAAGGATTTGCAGCAATTACCCGAATAATTTCGTGTTCCCGGTACTCCTGTTGTTGGGAGTTTTGGTTGGTTTCTTCAGTACTCTCTTTTCCCCTTCAACAAAAAGCCAAATAAGCAGCAGCCTCTCTCGGAATCTCGAGAGCTGCTCCTTCTCCAAAATTTAGTCACTTCAAGCATTTATTGTGGTAGCTTTAAAGCTCAAGCTGTTTAAAACTGCATTGTTAAATAGAACAAAGAATCTAGTGCATCAGAGCAGGTGGGTGAATGAAGCTGGCACCTGAGATGATGGATACCAAGCAGGCAAAGGTGAAAGCTTTCCTGTGTTCATTAGAACTGCTGGGTTTGATTCATGGCTAGAAAAATCAGTTTATGTTTTGTGTCAGTAATTCACAGGCAGTAGCTAAATGCTATGTGATACGACCTTACAGGTTTTCGTTTCTTTAAAATCTTCAATTTCTTCAAAATAATTGTTTCAAATCATGTCCCTGATTTGTATAACACTGTTTCTTGGGCCTTTGCTGTCCTCATGTACTGCTGCAGTTCTGTCTGTCTGTTCTAACCACTTGTTGGATGTATGATGTAAACTAATACTTTTCTGTTGGGAACTGCCAGAACATTCAGGGAGCGATATGGTCCAGACTGGTCTCAGTCGTGGCTCTGCCCGTACAGAGCTGTCGCGTATTCAGTGTCCGGCGCCGTTCCGTGAACAGTAAGAAAATCACCATGAACATTTTCCACTTTCTGTGAGCAGCCGACTGTGCCATAAGTGGCCTTTCAGGGAATTTAAGGGGTATTTAAGTTGCCTCTGTGTAAAATGAAGATGGAATAACTCACTGTCCTTGTTTCCAATTTGACAGTAGCTGCTTACTTTGTAATAAGCGTTTTCTTTGATAAAAACGGCATCAAAAAGCTAGAGTTTCAAAGTTTTACTATTTTCTGAAGCTCAGGCTTTCTCTGGTTTTAGGTTTGAAGCAGAAGACAAGTCACTCTCAAGTGCTGAAATACCCCGATGGCTGTGAAAACTTCCTTTTGTCTTTTTTTTTGTTCACAGTCAAACTGCAGCTTCAAGCGGAAGAAAGAGGAGTGGTGTCAATCAAAGGTGTGATTGCAAATCGCTTCCTGGCCATGAAGGAGGATGGCAGATTGCTGGCCTTGGTAAGCACTGCTTTGTTCATGTTTCTGTCTGTATTTGTAGGTCCTGTCCTCGCTCTGTATGGAGCAACCTCCTCTCCTGCAGGATTTACTCAGCTTCTCTGTGTGTGATTTATCGGTGAGAAATGAGCTCTGCACAGCTTCAATTAGTTAAATTACAAACTAAGAAGAGTTGGGTATGTCTGTCCTACCTAGAAGCTGCAAAATTTAATGGGAATGGCTTGTCTGAGAGAGAAAAAAAAATCATGGTGATCATGTAGAGAAGGAAGTTATAAAAACAAATGAAGAATGAAATGTTTGCCTTCTTACCCCCAGGAGTAATTTTATCCTCTTTCACTTCCTTACACGTGTGATTTTAAAGACCTTTTAAAATAGAAAATAAAGCAAATTTTTATTTATTTTGTTTTACTTTCATGATGCTAATCTGTATAAATTGTTTTCTCATTTTCCTCTTTGTAGAGAATCAAGTTTTTTGGGGTTGTTTACTTCCTAACTAGAAAACTGGCAAGAAAATACATTTTTGAAAATGCGATGATAAAATTTTAAAAAGTTATATAAATGTAGGTAAATTAAACTACTCTCTAGTGAGACTAGTTTTAACTTAAACTCTTGTGCATTTTATTGGTATCAGCTGAATTTTTAACTGTGTTTTAAAGCCAGTATGTGTAGCAGGCTCTGAAAGTTAATAAGGACTCCCGGAGTTGGAATATAAATTTTGCTTTAAGAGCTGCAGTTACATTCATTTTGCTTAAATCTCTCATCCACAACCGTCAGTGCAGGCAAACCTGCAAAACTGGTGAAGCACCACTGCAGGACATTCATCCCATGGGAATTTCAGTTTGCAATAATCCCTGATACTTTGGTGTCTTGAACATTCAGCCTCGGTGCAAGTCGCCACCAGTGACTGGTGTTAGTAATGTGCATTCCTAACCCTGGCTGAACAGCAGCTGATGAAAGACCCATGCCAAGGGCTGCAGAAATTCCTTCTGATTTCCCTCCTGCCTCAGTGAAATGAGGCTGAAAGGAGTTTCACAGGAGCAGGGCTCCCCGGGGTGCTCCGCGGCACCACGTCTGTGGCTCCAGGAAGCCCGTTTTGTTCATGCCTGTGAGTACAGTTACAGGACCTGCTTCAAGTTACTTGGGTGTTGTGTGACAGCTTGGTTGAAGAAAATATGAGGAGCTGTCTCTCTGCTATTCTTGAGTTAAGGGTAATGGGGAATTTCCTGTGGTGCTGGTGTGGTGGCATTTGCCTTCCCATTCAGATCATCCTCTTTAAACCGAGCGACAGCGAATGGTCGACGTAGGGTGTTTAGTGCCATTTGTAAAATTATAAACACGAGGGGATTGTTGTATTTGGGATTTCTGCTGTTGCAATAGAGGGTTAGGTTGTAGAACATGCCTTCCTTGCAGCAATTTTAGCTGCTTAGTTCCTGTAAGGCAAAGTGCTTGGAAACTGTCAGTTGTTCACTCAGAATTACGCTCTCAAAATGTATAAAGCTGAGTGACTTTGTACTTCTCACTTGAGCTTATAAAACAGTTGTGTTAGTTTCTGGAAATGGGTATTACTTGCATTGTGTCTGCTGCGCACACTACTTCCTACAGCTCTTTTAATTTTATTTTGTTATTCATAGGTGAAAATTCTCTGCTCTTTTAAGATCTTGTTCTTCACCCAGCCTAATGAATGCTGCTGCAATTTCATGGTTGTTTTCTGTAGCACTGGCAAATGTTTTTTCCATGAGGATTTCTGTATTGTGACTTCCAACAGTCTGTGGCTGGTTGTGCCTCTACTGTTTTCTGCCTCTAAACACATTCATGAAACTGTTTCTAATTGCCAGTGTTTCTCGTTCAGTTTGAGCAAGGCTGTGTTTCAGCGAGAGCTCTGCAAAGAGCATACGCTGGAAACCTTTGTGGTGCAGTGATCTCGTCAGTGCACATGATGAAACACTGCTGAAACCTTTGGCTATTTCTTTTAAAATGTCATGGAACTTCAGTTTCTAAACACTTCATGTAGTTCTCTAATCCACCAGTCACTCAAGTACTATTCTGTCTTTTTTAATGTCTGCTTGCTTTACTTACTTGTCAATGTCCAGCATCCATTTATTTAGTGTCCTTGTTTTATAAATATATCAACATCTTCAGAAATACTTTTGCAAATTACTAGTTGGGCCTGCTTTTCGTCTTGCCAAATGTTTTTGTAATTATTTTGTGCAGACATGTCTTTAGAGTTTGTTCTGAGCTGGGTTTTGCAGAATGATTTATTGCACGGCCGGTGCATCGCTGCTCATCCTGGTGATCTGCGTGGGGGTGCAGTGCATCGTGTTCTTGTCTGGAAAGCTGCATGATGCTGATTTTAATGGAGCAGTTTCATGCTCTTCACTAACAGACTCAGTTGTGGGAGAGAACTAATCTTTACCAGTTGTGTCACGGGAGGAAACGGCTGGTTATTAATGCAGACAGTCAAGACCTCCCCTCGGAAAATGCTGTTTTAACTGAAAATATTTGCGCGGAAAAGTATCTATTCCATCAGATTTTTAATGGAAACACTGAAACGTTTCACTTTTGATACGGCTTATTTTCACTTTCCGGTTTCATTTAATTATAATAATAAAATATTTTCATTTTATGGAAAGAAATGTGATTATTTTGTTTAATGAAGGAATTTACCAAACCTCCTATGAAAGGAAGAATTGAACTTTTGACTAACTTATATTTCACGATAACTTGTTATTAAAGGGCATGACCTGTTCATTCTGTCTGTTGTGCTTACATGGTTTCACTTCAAAAACTCGACTTGAAGGGAAATTCTTGTTTTTTGATGTTGTAGATTAAAGTTGTGCTACAGGAATATTTGTGAGAATAACCTGCATTTCTGGGCCCTTTTGTAGATAGAAAAGGCTGAATATGATCATCACCTCTCTCAGGCTGTACTGGATCCACTGTGGTAGTGGATTAATAAACCCTCTGGCTTCAGTTTTGAGAATTAATAAACTTGAGGAATTTTAATTCCTAATCCAAGTCCAAAATGTCAGAGGTAGTTGCTGGCATGGTGTGACTCTAGGGCAGATGAGGTTTGCACTGAAAAATCAATCAGTGGGTGATGTCTGTGCAAATATGGGAAGAACCACCTTGTTGCAGGAAGCTGCTGCCCCTCTTTCAGGCAATTTATTTGCCCTGGGTGAATCGACTTGAGGATTTCAGGATTGCTAAAGCTGAAAATTCCTGGACTCAGGATTTTATTTAGTCAGGAGGGAGGGCTTGCTTTGGCAGCCGACAAAATACCGACTGTGGTGGCAGGGCAGGCACAGGGGGAACTTGCTCCCTGCCACTGCCCCAGGTGTTTTCCTTTCCTTTATCCTTCTCCTGAAGGGCTGCAGAGTTCAGGTGTTTCATGCTGTGCTGTGGAAGCTTTCTCTGCTGGATCAGTGCTCTGAATGCAGCCTAGACTTAAGTGTATTTGAAAAAACCACTGATATCCAGGGTTTTTCCAGGGGCTGAGGTTCTCAGTGTGGTGGCTGGCATCCCGCTCCTGCTGGACAGCAGTCCGGCTTCCGAAATGTCTCCTTTGGCAGACGTTAGGGAATACATAGTTTATGAAGCCTGAATTAGCATTTGTCATCTAAATGTTGGCTTTTATGTCAAAATGTTTACATTGGCAACACACTGTAGGCACCCACTGGTGTCACATATGCTTTGTGCAGAAAAAGACTTTTCTTTTTTCACACTTTTTTGATGGTGTCTCTGCCTGAATTTCCAGCTTGAGCAATTGTACTGAACTTTCCTATACTCTGCTTAAAGGTTTTGTTTTTAAATGCTTCTTTATACAGTTTCTGTGCCGTCCTCCCTTTCACACTTGGATCTATGGCTTGAGGTGATTAATGCATTTGTTCTCACATTGCTGGAACACAAAACTTTAAGTACAACTTATCTTGAGAGAGATTATTTAAAATAAAAATAACATGAAAATTGTGAATGGGATTTCTGTTATTTGAAATGTACAAGTATCAGTGAGTTATAGAAATGAAAAACTGCAGACAGATTTTCTCTTACAAGTTCTTTTTCTTAGAAGCAAAAATTCATATCTGAAAATGATTGGAGAAAATACCCTTCTATTTGAAGATGTGTTTGGAGACAGATCACTTTATTCCAGATTGCACTTGAAGGATTTAATTGTTTGTAGCTACAGAATCTTGGCATATATGAGGAGTTACCCTTCTCTTGTATGTTTTTGTGCCTTCTGTATGAAGGCTAATTGTTCCAAGCTCACTTTATATATTAATGAATATTAACAGAAGATGATAACAAAGGGTAGCCTGCTAATTTCAGGGATTGCCTCACATTCCGTGTCTGCTCCCCAGTATTTTACACGCTTGCTTTTTAATGATGAGCTTTTCTGCTCCTCTGGCATTCCCAAAAATTTTCAGGGGAAATGAATCTGACTGAACTGATGGACGGAGAGGTGGTGTTTATGAAAAGAAAATGCACCCTCCAAGTTCCTGGGGTGTTGAACTTCTGCCTTTTTTATATTTGAGAAAATAATTTCTCTTGCCTGAAGTGCCAGTTCTGCAGGTGGATTTACCACCGTGACAGCTGAGAGCCGTGTTAATTCCGTGTAGGTGGAGTTGGCTTTGAAGACTTCCTTCCAGAAGTAAAGTAATTCCATAGATGTACTTCTGAATACTGTGGCATGCCTGGTCCCTGTGTGGAATATACCTCTTTAATTTTTAACGTTATTTTTCAAGTTTTGAATTCTAAAAAAATCTTGAAAAGAGTGTTTTGGAATGCTATAAACACAGACTTGAATTAGCTTTAGGAAAAGTTAAACCTTGAAATTGGAAAAGAAGAGGCAAAGGCTGGAACTCTGCCACGCTATTTATCTAATGGATGAAATGCTGGGTTGAGGAAGGCAAGGGAAATACTGCCTTTTCTCTTACACCCTGCTTTTCTTTTTGGCTATAACCTATGATGAGATGGCAAAGCTGCTGAGCTTGGAAGTCACTGAATGCCAAGGGACAGGGTCCTTCATTTAAATGTTTGAATTTGTGATCAGAACAAAGAATTACACAGTGAAAACAAACTAGAACCTGCTTGGTCTGTGTTAAGACACCACAAATGAACCACAGTTAGACCCTCTTCTTCTTGTAGGTGTTTTTAACAATATTTTCAAAATGACTATCATTCTTCTGTCATGAAATGTTTCATATCCATTTCTTAAAGCCAGAGGTACTGCTAACTCACAATTTTGCTAAGTTAGGCCCATGAGTCTGAAGAATTGTTTTTGGATGCTATACTGATAATCTTTTTTTTTTCCCCCCCTTTTTAGAAATATGCAACAGAAGAATGTTTCTTCTTTGAGCGTTTGGAATCTAATAATTATAACACTTACCGATCACGGAAATACTCCGACTGGTACGTGGCACTGAAAAGAACTGGACAGTACAAACCTGGACCAAAAACTGGACCTGGACAGAAAGCTATCCTTTTTCTTCCCATGTCTGCCAAAAGCTGATTCCCATGGCGGATTCCGAGCACGTTTGCCACACTACACTAAAGACGTCGACTTTCCTACTCCTCCTCGAAGTAGCAAAATATAAGCAATTATTTGCTGATATTAACTACTTTTCCAGATACCAGTTTAAAACATGAATGTTTCATACTGTCTTTATATTGCTCTTTAAACCTATTGTGCCAGTGTGTGTGGAGGTAAAATTACTTGGAAAATATATTTTCAAGATCAATAACACATCTGTTTTCTTCTAGGTACCTATGCAGAGCTGTTTTATTTACATTACGCTTTCTTTATGGAGTAAAGGAAAACAAATCTGATGCACACTTGCAGCAATATTTACCTTTAAAAATAATTTATCTCTTAGCTTATTAGAGAATAATTACTTACTAATAATTACCTAAAAAGAAGTCCATGAATAAATTTAATGTGCAACACTGCAGTAATAATTCTAAATTATTAATCTAACGAAATGTGAAATGTATTGCTCTCATGTAATGTTTCTGTAGGACTCGGGCAGCTCCCTGTGGTACAGTTTGTAGAACAGACCTGTGTAGACAGCTGGGAACTCCCTCATGGTTATGTCGATCTTATCAAACCCTTCCCTGTACCCATACAGTAGGAGTTTGGCTACGTTGCTGGTGATGGGAGTAGAGTTTTTTGTCCTGACAAGCTCCTCGAGGTCCATCCACTCACACCTCAGGCACTCTTGCTGGCAGAAGCTGATGTTGAAGGAGGAGGGCTGCAGGCGACAGATGATGTACATGTCTGACTGCCCAAAGGCTCCGGGGTGTTGGTGCTGCTGCCTGATGCTTAGGATGGACTTGAACTCTGACTTGATGCCAGTCTCTTCAAAAACCTCTCGAACTGCTGTGTCTCCTGGGTGGAAAGAGCAACGCTTAGCATTCTTTAAACACTTGGGAAAGGCGGAAACCCTCTAACTCAAAGCGTTCTCTGTTCTGCTTCGTCAGGTTTTCAGGATGTAAGTCTGTTCTTCCAGCACAAGGATAAGCTAATTCTTTGGTCCCTGAACAAAACTAATTGCTAAGTGCCTTTCCTGTGTGTATCCTGCAGAATTACCCCTTTTGATAATACTGTGCAGGGGGTGGTTTGACATGGACACTCTGATGGCTGCTGACTCTGCTGAACTCTTAATCCAAGGCAGCATTCCACCCTCCTTGCAGTTCTTTGTATCCCCATCCCTCTCCTTGCTTCTATCCGAGCTGTTGTGTTACCTGCTTCTTTTAGTTCACTTTCAATAAGAAATGAGTGTGCTGGCTTGCTTCCAAAAGCAAAATACATCTTAAAAGACCTGTAGAGATTTGCCATCCTATGGAAGCTTTCATCTTGGCATGTCAGAGGGGAACAGAACAGGCATTTGAGGGGTAGTTTCAAATATTGGAAATAATCTGGACATACAGTGGCTAACAATAGATAACCAAAATGATTAATCCTGCATTGGCCAAATTACTGTACATTAATAGCCCTGGTTTGCACATATTTCTGCCTCAGCTCATCTTCTATCTTGCCGTGGAATGACCTGTGTGAAGTTTCCCACATGGGGAAGGACACTCATGTACCATTACTGACCCTTGCAGAGATTGCATTTTATGTTGCCCAGAGAGGCCTCTGTGGTCCCCTGGTTTAAAACAGTGGTTGCAAAGCAAAACTCCCTGTGTTTTGTTATTGGGAAGGGGGCTGTATTACACAGAAGTGAAGAACTGAGATAATGAGAAAGGTTGAAGCAGGCTACAGTTAAGGAAATTGTGATAATTAGGGATTTCATTTGAGCATTGAGCTCTGCTTTTAGATAAAGTGCCTTTTTCTGTTTCCCTTTTATTTAAATGTGTATATATATATATAAATATCTACTGACAGTTAAACCAGAAGAAACACTAGGGCTTGAGTTTCAGAAATACTCAAATACAAAAATGTGTGCACTTTGCTTAATTCATTATGAAACTATTGGTATTACTTGCACGAGTCAGTTTGTACTCATTTTAGTAGATAGCCATGTATTTTGTCACTTCATATAATCACGGGATCTTCAAGCCTTGTAATTGCAATTTTTAATTATAATTTAAAATGTAGTCTCTTGAATGAGTTTATAAGGTATGAGTATGTAAGGATTAAAAAAAAAGGAAAATTAAGCTCTATTATATTTTATGCTTCACTAATTTATATCTTCTTGTAATATAAGATGTGATGCAGAGAATCGTAACTTTTATTATTATGTAGTTTAGAAGTGGCAGGAGGGGAGCTGTGGGAGACTTGTTTTCTCCTGGGTGTTTTCCAATACTTACATCCAGGTTCCAGCCATAATCTCACCTGTTTTTGAGGGGTGGCCTCTGGCTTACTCAGTAGCACTATCCCTCTGGGGAATCCCACTGGAATGCCAGTGCTGGCACAAAAATCCTGCTGGTATCTCCTGGCCTAGAGCCTTTGGCACTAGAAGTCGGAAGAAGCCTGGCTAGACAACAACCACAGCGTTTGGGATTCTTCTGAAAACATGGATCCATTTCACTGTTACATGTATTTGCATTGTCCAGCAAATAGTTTTGATTTCCATCACTGGGTTTGACAAAAAGACTGAAAATGAGATTCAGGAGTTGTGAAACTAAATTCAGTCATATCCCAATAACTAGAAACTTTCTCCATGTGTTGAAATAATGAACTGGAACACAAGCCCTGCAAATGTTGTAGGGAGACTGCTAAAATAGTAGGTATTTCTAAGGTATGGAACAGTCAGGAAACCTGGGCTCAATGCCCAGTTTAAAAAATAACCAGTCTATGGATCATAATTTTAAGGGGTGAGAAACAAAGGAGAAAAAAAGCCAAATTTTCTCTCTCTTCATAAACACCCTTGTTCATTCACCACTGAACAGAACTGTACCAGTGCTTGTCATCACCTGTGCTACGCTGGGCAGAAATGAGAGGTTTCCTCAAATCAGCATTATTTCTTAATACAGAAGAGCTTTATGTCCCTGGTTGAGTAGGTGCCCACAGGACCGAGCTGCTGCGCTTAATGCTGCCCTGTGCCAAGAGCTCTTAGTCCAAACAAATAATGAGGGTGGGAGGAAGCAAAAGTTGTATTTAATTCTGGTTTGCATGTACAAATGGAGAGCTGGAAATTTTTGCTCAGTGCATCACTGAGGTCACTGCCCTGGATTTCAGTGTGAGCCGAGAGCTCCCTGTTTCAGTTTTATTTAGTTTATATACTGACTACCTTAATCCTCTGCACTTCTGGCTCATATTACAGCATATCCAACAAGCCCACAAAAAGTCAGCTGACTTCAAGCACTCACTTAAGAGAAATTGTGGAAAAGAGTAAATGTTATAAATACAAAACTTCTTTGCCCTAATTACCATTAAGGTCACAGGATCATGTCACTTCATCTGCTCACCATTAATTCAAAGAAACAAATTCAAAGGAGTGGTGTGAGTCATGCTGTATTTCAGTAGTGTTAATGTCTTTGTAACTCTGTTGACATCTGACCTGTCTTCCTAGGACTTACCAATGTCTTCTCCTGGATTAGACAGACCTCCTGGAAATTTCCATGCATTTATAGTCTGTATTGGAGGAGAAAACATTAATGAAGGATACAGCCTGTGTTGTACTCTCAAATATGAAGGAGATAATTAATATGTGACTTGTTTTCTTGAAGTTGCAGTAGTATTGTTATGACTCCTACAAACAGCAGGAAGTAGGAACTTATTCATTCCTGCTAAGGTGATGATCAGAGACAGCTACAGTCTGTATGAACTATTGGAACAAAACACCTACTGACTGAAAATACAAACTGTCTAACGGTCAGTAGACAACGTTGCTGCTAGATAGAGTAGTTGAGTATTAAAGAAAAGCTGCTATAGACAATATAATCTTATATTTAATCACTAATGTATTCCCCTTCCATGGTTTTGGCTTTTAAAAAATGTATATATATTTAATCCTACCAACAGGTATTATGATTGTAGTACTGTTCTATATTGCACTGGCTTTAAGATGACTCTGTGTGTCTGTAATAATCATTTAGTGTAACTTGTCATTTTCATGGAATACAAAAACCGAGGGCTTTTGTGTGATTTATATATAGAAACATTTATTGAATTGCAATAAAGTTCAGTATTAGAACGTGGAGACTTGGTGTTGTTACTTATACTGCTAAAGGAGTCCAAGTCCCTGCACCTCTTGCAAATGCATAAAGATTTGTAGGCTTCAGTTCTCTGTATTTTTTATTTCTTTCCTTATTAAAAGTTTATGTAGGAAGAAGTTACCCTTCACCTAGAAATTAATGCAGTAAAAAAGCACACTGGCCAAAAAAAAAATCTTTTTTGTCCATGCAGCATAGAGGGGGAAGCTCTCTGCTTTCCAGTGATTTGAAACCCCAACAGCTACACTGGAAAATGTTTTTTTTTCCTGGGCATTCTTAAAGGGCTTGGATAGGACTTTGAAGTAATAGATTAAAAATAGTGCAGACGGAAAATACGTATATTTGTCTGCTGGCTTCCAGATTTGCTTTTGGTTCCTGGAAATCTTTGTGTGCTGCGGAATTGTCCTTTCACGACTAAACCTAAACAGCTCTTAAAATTCTGCCAGCTGCTTAATTATTTTTTAAGCTTTCAGAACATCCTTTATTTTAAAAGACACCATTTCGGGGAAACTTCATTTTATGGGAAAAGAGAAGGGAAAGAAGTGGTGGAACCGACAGTGGGAAACAACTGTCTGAGCTATTTGATTGCACTGAGATATTTGCTCACTGCACAAGGAATGTATGTTCATACACTTCAGCATTTAGACTTAATTTTACCCAGTCAGTAAAGAGCTGGAAAGAGGAGAGTCAGAAACAATCACTTTTTTCCTTTCACCTTCCTCACTTGCTGCACTGTCAGCTTTGTTCTGGAAAGGGGAGCTGAAATAGTTGACCTGGCATATCCCACTTTTCAGAATGAGCTGAGGGAACGGGGAAGAGCAGTGCCAGACTGGTCCTCTTGTGTTTTGGGGCCAGAGGTAAAAGAGGTAACGCCTGGTGAGTA